AAAAATAACTATATCTGCAAGTCATGGACTGATTAGATATTAGAAACATAAACTTCAGATGAAATACACTTTACTTTCTCCTTCAAAAAATAGGTGTTTTTAAAAAGATAGTTGAAAACAAAATATCATTTGATTTAAAAAGTTTTTTACAGGGCGTCTGAAATGAACAGACATTTCTCAGACAAAGAAGTAAAAGCAGCAAGTAAATACATGAAAAAATGTACAACATCACTGGTCATTTGAGAGATGAAGATGAAAACAACACTGAGATTCCACCTCACCCCACAAAGAATGGCTGCTATCAAGAAATCAAACAATAACCAATGTTGGCAGGGCTGTGGGGAAAAAAGAACCCTTATTCATTGTTGATGGGAGTGCAGATATGGAGATATCTCAAAGAGCTGGGACTAGAGGTTCCATTTGATCCAGCCATCCCTGTGCTGGGTATCTTTCTGAAAGAATTAAAAGAGTCATACCACAGTGATATATGCGCACCCATGTTTATAGCCACACAGTTTGCAATAGCTAAAACTTGGAAACAGCCCAGTTGCCCTTGAGTTGGAAACTGGATAAAGAAGATGTAGTTTTTCTATAAAACGGAATACTACTCAGCCATAAAGAATGAGGAATTAGAGTCATTCATAGGAAAATGGATACATATTGAGGATATACTCTTAAGTGAAATAAATCACACATATGTAAATACCGAATAGTTTCTCTGGTATGAAAAACAATAATAGTACACAAGATCCTAATGGGATAATTAACAGTGTGAAATAGGAAGAAAAAGGCTAAATGTGTAGGGAAAGTGGGAAGGGTAGGGGAAATGGAATAAGGGAAAAGAAAAAAAATATGAGAAAATGAAAAAAATGGAAATAAAGTGTTTGAAAATAGGGAGGGGAGGAGGGGGTGAAGGGAGGGCAGGGACAAGGGGAAAAAATGAGAACCAAGACCTGCCATGCGAAGGTACAGGATCCCAGTAATGAATGTAACTGTATTGTATACCTAGATTGTACAAATAAACTCAATAAAAAGAAAAATATAAAGTTTTTTACATTAAAATTATACACTACACCAGTAAATTATGTTTACAGCCTTTTTAAGTTTCAACTTATAAGTGCAGCTTACTATCTTAGCTATGAATTCTACCTTTAAAACACTGAGAAATGTACTATTATCATGATTCATATTATTATCTACCTTTGGCTATACACTGGGAAATACATAGGTTGCAACAGGCCTAAGAAATGTAAAGCTTAGTTAGGAACACATATAAAAATATCGATAATACAGTGGACTTTTGACTTATGAACTTGATTGGTTCCTAAGGGCTGGCTATAATTCAAGTTGGTTGTAAGTCAGTACAGCTGAGATCTGGATGTTTACTTGGGTACAGGCTACAGATAACAAGAGGCAGCTGAATCTTCCATTAACCTAATTAACTCAAGTTTTTCATATGACAGGCTGGTTGTAACTTAAGGACCCACTGTATTGATAAAACTATTTAAATGAGGAGATGCAGGGGCTATTTATAAATGATATATAAAAAATACATGTTTAGCATTTTTTTTTTTTTTTTTTTTGGTACTGAGGATTGAACTCGGGACTTTGCGCTTGCAAGGCAGGCGGTGGCACCACTGAGCTAAATCCCCGGTCCAAAACAATACATGTTAAAGATATATTTGTTGCCTATATTAATGAAAAATAATAGGTTTATACTACTCAAGTCCCAGAGTATTTTCAAGTCTGATATGCTCCAAAGATAAAAATGAGCAACGTTGCAATTTGTTTAATCCATTCAACAATTTTATCTGTAAGAGGTATCTGTTATATTTTAAAGATGAGTTTATCTTTCCTTTAAACTTGATTTGTCTCATTTTCAATTATTAATTATTTATGTTAATTATTCATTATAGAATGAATTATTGACAGAACAGTCTGGCCTGAAAGGAAAATGCTATAAATTTATTATTTCTGTTATATCACTGCTTTGCTACATGTTAGAGTACTGGGAAGAAAAGGTTAGTTGACTTTCTTTCTCTAGTGTAATCTAAATGCAATCAAATCTATGTACGAAATGGTTAGAAAAAGATGAATATAGTTATTCTGTAGGTGAAATTAGGTGCGCCATATGTACAAGAGTAATATTCAAAATAATTAACACTATTCCCACACAGGCACTGAAAAGCTCAGTAGTTGCTGTGTTAAAGCACCTCTGCTGGCCCCGGCCTGGAGCCTTGAACAGTGATGACATGAACTGCGAGGACTTAATTGTGTTAAATGATTCCTTCTAGAGATACCATTTAGACAGGTTTTATTGAACTATTACGGAATATGATATCTTAATTTACTTTTGCTACAGAACATGTAACAGCGAAAAAAGCATCACGTTTTTTTTTATTTCTAGAATTTTTTACTCTGCATGCCATAAATTGTAGAGACATCTGACTGCCTGAAAAATGCCTGATAGTGTCTTTCAGCAATGGGAGATGACATGTGGCTCCCATAAACAACATTCCCATTCTGAATCCACTGCAGAAATCTTGAACTTTAGAGATTTAAGAGAGAGAGACTGATATATTTTCTTCAGTGTTCCTTTGCCTGTAGTCTTTCATAGAAGTCAACTGCAGAGTAATGACAGGGATCCTAACTTACTTGAAGAAATGCAATAAAAAGAAATTCTGCTTCTGTGTGAAGGGGTGATACCCCTCCTCTCCAATTAAGCCTTGGAAAGAGTCTGCAGGGACCACCTGCATTCTTAATTCAGAAATGATTAGATTAGTGCAGGATTTCTTCCCTTATGGCCTAAGGCTTCACTAGGAATACTAAGCCTTACTGCTTGTCCAATCTACATTTCTGGGACAATTTGAAGGCCTCAGGAGAATTCCATAGAGCTTGCCATAGATAAAGAGACATCTTGGCATTATGACAGAGTCCTATTTCTTATTGGGACACTTATCCAAAGAAACACAAACTGAATAAAACTGAGTAAAGAAGTGTAGTTCTCATAATATACTGTGTTCGTTCGCTTATGCCTAACTCAAAATTTTACTATTCTCTAAGCACATGGAAGAACTCATGGTCTCTCTAGTCTCAGACCATTCCACACCAGCTGTGCTGAGCCTGTCATCATTAGCTGAAAGCCTGCCCAGGATTTCTGCCTTTGTATGTGCTGTGTCATGAAGCTGGAATGCCTTTCCTCCTCACTGTCCACCTGCTGCATTTATCCTTTAAGTTCTGAACGGTCCTAAAGGCTTGTGATAATGCCTCCTGGTTGGAACCAAGGAAGTGCTTGGTACAAGTCTTTGCAGAACGAAATGGTGAACAGGTAGATGGAGGAATGAAATAATTAGAAAGACTAAATCCCAAGAATTCATGTGCATTATGAGCTGAGTCAGACTTTACTTTGCATTAATACATTAAAAATGCTTTAATGTAGACTATACAAAATATTTTTTTCCTTTTCCTTCCCTCCCTTTCTCCCTTCCTCCCTTCCTTCCTTCCTTCCTTCTTCTTTCGTACTGGGGATCAAACTAAGGTCCTTGTGCTTGTCAGGCAGGCAGCAGCACCACTGAGCTAAATTCCCGGCTACAGTTTCTTTTCTAAAAGCCTACCATCTGAGGCAGGATTCTCTTTTGTGAGACTTCTTCTAACACTGTGATTCTCTTTTGTGAGACCTTTTCTAACACTGTGTTCTGGGAACAGGAGAGGCTGATCCCAAGACAATAATACTATATTCTCATGTCAACTGCAGTATGGTGATTGTCCCGGTTAAAGCCTACCTGTCTTTTCCTTAATGTTTATCCAAACAAACCTCCTTATCTCTTGGGCTATCAGTGACATCTGCCCTAACATCGGTGATTTGTCTCCCAAAGTAGCAGACTCTTCTTTACAGGAATAAACTTTTTATACTGCAAAATTTATTGCTTAACTCAGGTGAGACAATTCAGCAACAGCTCTTCTCCATAATAAAACAAAATTTCCCATTCCTTCCTAATTCTAATACTCTTTTTGCAGGGATTTGGCTGTGGTAAATTCTAAAGCATTAATATAAGAAAGATCTGGGGATTTTAGAAGCTCATTTTATTCAAAAGTTCAGATCTGTTTCCATCCCAGATACAAAGGTAAAAGAATCTTGGCCATTGTCTTTGTTTCCATTTTTTTCTCATGTTAATTCCTTTCTCATCTTCCTTTATAGATAGGGAGGGGTGCAGGGGTTGAAGGGAGGGCAGAGGAATGGGGCAAAAATAAGAACCAAGATGGATCATGTAAAGGGGAAAATTTCCAATGATGAATGTCATTACATTGTATACCTTAAATGTACCAATAAAATTAATTAATTAAAAAATAAAGAAAAGGTTAGGCTTCTTAAATAAGATTTTTATACTGAGCTTAAAAAAAAAAGAACCTTGGCCAAGATGAAGGTGGTCTTACACCCTGAGGATCCCTGGGGGATGGTCCCTGTCCTTCCGGCTCATCCTGAAGCAGCAGCAGCAGCCCTCTCCACAGTTGAATTAGTTTTCACTCACACGGGGCAAACACTCACATCCCTCTGTCAAAACCCATGCAACATTTTAGGTTTAATTGGAACTATCTTTTAGTTTTTTATATATTCTATGAAAGTTTAACTATTTCTAGGACTTGATTGCCAGGCTTGTTTCAACTATTACTATATCTGTATTGTGAAGTGTATTTCTTACAGGTTTCTTCATGCATTCGCATTGTTTGTCAGGACAACTGGTATGTGATACTAACACAAACGAGTACCAAAACCTGTCAATACGCAGGCACACAGTTACATTTATGAAAAGCCCAAGTATTTAGCTATAAAGAAGTCCACAGACTTTAAAAATAATAAACCTATATACATAATATACATAAGCACATAAAAAACTCTATATGAAAGCCTGATATACTGGTTCTCCCACTAAAGTGACAAAAGGGATACACTGGAATGAAATCCAGTAATTCAAAGAAGAAACATTTTCAAACACACTCACCCACTATGCTTCATGTGTGGTGGTTTATCCATACGCACTGCCAGTTTGATTTTTAAGTCAGAGTCCTGACTATTTTTTGGAACTATCATTCGGTGTAATTCAGCTGACTTAGAGCTATTAGAAGTTGGATATAATATCACCTGTAAAGGATAAAAAGAAAAAGAAAAAATGTACTTAAGCGCATAATACAGTGTCCATGAATTGGAACTGAAATTTGTCCTTTATATTTTCCTATCTGAAAAGAAGTGTATCTATTAAACCATTTGACCCCCTCCAACTACAGCAGGTGGGATTTCAATATTGATTTATTTATGACATAATGAGTTTTCTTCTTGTGTCACTTCATAAGGAATTAATAGCACAACAAGACAGAGCTGAACTGATAGTTGAAACATACTTAATAGATGCAGTACAAATCCAGGACTGTTCTGAACTTTTCAAGGCCAAGCAGTTCAGAAAGAAATCTCCTTCAAAATTATAGATAATATGCTTTAAAAAGCCAGACCGACTATTGAAGCTGTAGACACATTTGTCTCGTATTTTAATATTTTCAGGGGAAAAAAGGTTTTAAAGAAAATAAACTCAATCAGAGTTGGAAAAGAATGATTATTGCACATTTTTTGCTCTAGAACAATACCAAAGAAATATTTTTTTCCCTGACTACATGTTTTCAAAACTATAGAGAGGACATTTCAGTGACTGAAAGTAATTGTTTTAAATACAGGTACCAAGTTATCAAGTGATTATTTTTACACTTCATATCACTAAGTGAATCCAGGAAAGGGAAATTTGTTCTTCACAAATTAGGTACCACACGGACAAACCAATACCTTGTCCCCTTTATTTAGTCTTGACAACATTTAAACCAGCTTATTTGTATACTCAAGTTTAATTTTTTTTAAATGAGAGTACTACAGCCTGAAAGACATAATAAACATGCAAAGTGCAGCACTTCTTAATTTTAACCACTCTCACCTTAAACCAACAGGAAAACTAAACCAAGTTTATTTATGAGAGGAAGGGCTGTTTGTGATGGTGCTCACAAATGCTGAAATATTTTTAAAGCATATATAGCAACTGAATTTTTAGTGTCTTGCCCCCTCCAAATATCTGTTTCTATGTAGTGGAAGTATTCACGGAAGAGTTTAAGCAACTGTCCCTTTTTTTTCTAGGAAAGGCAGTGTAGTCACAAAAGCTTCTCAAACCATTCTCAACTTCCAGCGTTAAATGTATCTACTAGTTGGAGACATTTCTCAAACATATCACTCTGTTGAGTCCAGCTTATCTACAGAATCAGGCACATAAAGGACATCAAATAACAGACTACATGGCACCTGTAATGTTCTCAAAATTATGACCATACTTTAGAATTAATTCATTTTTGACTGCTAAAAGATCCAGTGGAATATTGGACAGATTCTTTGTTAAGTGATACTAAAGGAAAAAAAAAAAGTTGATAGCTTTGGGCTCAAACCAGTACACAAAGGTCATTACCAACTTATAAGTTGACCCACCAAAAAAATTAAAGTCAAAGACTAAGGTATCGATTCATTCTCTACAGCTACAATATTCCTAGCCAATCTGAAAAGCTTTTCCTCTTTCTCCTTACACATCTTTTTTCAAAATTATTTTGTCATGAGCCACCTACAGACGTTATTCCTTTTGAATCCTTCCATGTTTATATAAAAGTTGGTTTTGTTCCAATTCTAAAAATTTTACAAAACAGTATTTAAAAATTTTGAAAATTTCTCTTTCCCTAAATACCAATAATAGATTACTAAAGGAACCAACTAACTTGTTACAGCTGACTCCCAAATTAAGGATCATCCCAATTCTGAATATAATCTTTTCTTTTAAAATATTAACTTATTCATTATTACATGTTTGTGATGATTACTTTTACTGTGGGTGTCTAGTACACGTCACATCTTCACGCCTTCTTTTTACATCCCTTTCCCCTTCACTCCCCCTCATTCCTTTATCTCCTGATCCCTTTCCCATTTGCAGACCTAGCTCCTTGTTTCCTGTTATCTTTTTTTGTTTTGTTTTGTTTTTGTTGTTGTTGTTTTGTTTCAGTACCAGGGATTGAACTCTGGACTTTGCGCTTGTGAGGCAGGCGGTGGAACCACTGAGCTAAATCCCTGGGCCTACCTGTTATCTTTTATTTTGTGTTTTACATATACTTTATATTTCTCATTTGAGAGAAATCATGTGGTATTTCAGCTTGCATGTCTGGTTTATTTTATGTAACATGTTTGTAAGGTTCATGCACTCTCCTACAAATGGTTCAAATTCATCTTCTTTGTAGTATAGATTACTTCACATTCACTTGTTGATGAACACAAAGGCTGCTTCCATGATTTGGTGATTGCTTTGTTGCTATAAATATTAGTATGCATTTATTGCTATAAAATGACATCTAAGTCTTTCAAGAAGATACCTAGAATGGGAACAGCTTGGCCAAATGAAATTTCTATTTTTACTTTTTTGAGGACTCTCCATAGTGATTATCATGTACAGAAACAGACATTTAGATGAATGGAACAGAATAGAGGATGCAGAAACAATCCCAGACACATTCAGCCTCCTGATCATTGAAAAGGAAACCAAAAACACACACTGGGAGAAAGATAGCTTCTTCAGCAAATAGTGCTGGAAAAACTGGCTATTCACACATAGAAGACTAAAGCTGGACACATATCTTTCCCCATGTACTGAACTAAAACTCAAAATGGATCAAAGATCTAAATATTAAAACAAACAATCCACTAGAAGAGAAGGTAAAGTTCTTGAAGTCACAGGAGTACGCAAGGGTTTCTGAAAAGAATAACAACTGCACAAAAAATAACACCAAGAGTCAACAAATGGGATCACGTCAAATTAAAAACTTCTGCATAGAAACGGAAATAAGCAACAGAGTATATAGACAATCTACAGAATATCATCATCTCTGTCACATATTCTTTTTCTGATGGGAATTTCTGACTAAAGTCAGTGGGAGAATTTATTGTTCAGCACTGTTCAGTTAAACAAACATTTGAGTATATGTGTGGGATACACATGGTGAAAGAACACGAATGGCTCCAGCCCCTCGGGGAGCTCACAGTCTCTTGGTCTTGAACTATTAGCTCTGATAAGATATTGCACCTTCCTATTGTCCCTCTATTTTGAGGATATGCAGCAGATTCCTGTTTTTAATCAATCTTGGGATTTACTTACCATTATCTGTTTGGCTTTTTTGTTCTGTGTAATGTATATCTAATTCCCTGTGTTAAATAATGTTATGGCTTAAATTCAGATTCCAACAAAAGCCTCATGCACTCATAGATGGGACTTTTTGGAGGTGGCTGAGTCATGGGTGTGTGATACTGGATTAGTCCACTCATGGGTTTATAGCTGGGTGTGATGTTGGAAGGTGAAGTCTGGTGGAGAACAGGTGGGCTGTTGTGAGTGTGGCCCGGCAGGGTATATATTCTTCCTCCTCCCTTGATCCTTCTCTGCTTCCTGCCTGCTATGCCAAGGGTTGTTTCTCCTCTGCCATGTCCCTCTGCCTTGGCACCCTGCCTTGGAACCAGATGACTATGGACTCAAACCTCTACAAAATTTAAACCAAAATAAACCCCTCCTCCTTTTGAAGGCATTAGGTATTTTGTCCCAGCAAGGGGAAAGCAACTAAGATAAATTACTTCCATTTGAAAGGTTTTGCTTTTCTGGACAGAATGAGAGTAAAGGAATGAACACTGGTGCCCATAACAAGTGGATGCCCACAACTGAGCCAGCAAATTTAAACGCTTTAAAATCAGTCTTTAAAAAGATCTTTAAATAGTCTGCAGATTCCTGAATGCACAAGAAGAAAGCATTCAGACTCCTATATGAGATTTAACCATAAAAGAAAATGGCCAAGGAAGAAGCTCCCAATGTACAGAGCTCGCTTGTATCCCACAGGAGATACAAGACAAAGGAGTTCTTTACAGATGCACACATAGGTTTGAAAAGAGGTCTTGAATCCTTCCGGGGAAGGAGAGTATCTTCACTGTGCCAGCCTGACAGGATTTCATTGTTGAATTGCATAATTATTGCTGTGTATTTCCCATTTTAAAAATTTAAAACTTAATTCTAGCTCTTCTGCTCCTGTTCCACAGCTGCATACTGGGTGTGTGACAGGACAGGATGCAGCAAGAGTAAAGTAGTGTCAGGGAGCATGAACTTCAGCTCATAGTTTGCCAGGCTGCTAAAAGTGTCTAAATGTGATATCAGTATTGGCCTAGATGAAAGGATGGGATGGGGGTTTGGGTTTTTTCTGCTCCCCAGTAGTGGTGAATGTATTCTATGTATAAGAGTAAGGGTAACAAAAGTATTTGGTATGGAGAGGGAGGGGTGAACTATGGCGGATCATGTAACTGCCCACCAGGACTTGTACATTCACTAGTACAGAGCTGTTATTAGTAAGCAGCTGATCGGTTAGCTAAGGTCTGATTCCTCCTTCTCTGCTATCAAGAATAAATGTGTGAGACAAGTGATGTGTGTCACTCTGGAGAAAGATTATTAAGAAGATACACCTTCCACATTCCTTGTATTCCTCTATAAGCTGAATGAAGAGAACATCAATGCCAGAGGAAGTAATGGGAGAAACCAGAGCCCTGAATCGCCATGTAGAAGGAAGGCACCCTCTCGTCTCGAATGCCTTACTAAATTATTCTATGAGTTGGCACTGCTCTGAATTACTAAAATGTTGTCAATTGCTTGCTATAGCATTTACTAGTCTCTTAACTAGAATACTGAGACAATGTGTTGCTTTATAAATCTTTCATGAGAAAATGAGTGCTTATAGAATTGTTTTTCATAAGCAATTTCACTTTAACAGAACTTTAGTTCATGTACAGAAAAGTCTAAGGTTGATGGTCAGAATAATTAAAATATTCAACAGATACAAAACAGATACAAAATTAACCAGATCCATCTGTATCCTAGATTTACACCCAGATTAAATTATAGCTCTATAAAAGGTTAACTTCTTATATTATTTAGTAAAACATTTTGTTCTTTACTATTTATTTCACTTAACCTTTATACATTTTTGCTTCTAGTTTATTTTTGTCGCTGACACTTTAAAATGTCTTTTCAGTTAGCAAGACACAAA